GAAATCAAATATCTACACCCTCTGAACCAGTTCAGCATAGCTCATCACCTGTTAACCTAAGAGGTAGATCCCCCAATAAAAGTGGTAAAGAGCCTTTGAGACCCCCTCCACCGAAGAGGGCAAGTTCTCAGCCATTGTCATCAGCTCCCGCAAAAAGGGCTGCTAGGGAGGCTGTTGCTCCCGGCACGCCTCAGGTCACTGTTGCAAAGGCCAAAACAAATAAGGCTCCCCCACCGGGTGTTCGACCAGGAGCTCCTCCGCCAAAAGCTAGGCCAGCTCCAGCCCCACCAAGTAAGCCTCAACTCCCTCGTAAAGCACCTCCTGGCTACCTTCCCCGTAAGGCACCACCAGGGTACTTGAAGGAGCAAGCTTCTAGTGGAAAAGGCATCCTTAGGAACGGGCCCAAAAGAGCCACTAACAACTGCTGGACAGGCAGAAGGGGCTGCTGCCGCACCTGTCGCGCAGCGGGGTCAAGAGTCAAGTGGAGCTCCAAGTGCACCTTCGGGTTTGTACCACTCTACCCCTGTAGATTCAGTGCCTGGCAACATCAAAGTTTGCCTCGATTGGCACGATACGCTAGACCAAGCGTTAAACTCAGAAGGCTCCTTTGACCAACATCTAATTGATAAATTCAATAGGGTCGTCTTAGCAGCCAATAACAGGGTTGAGTTCCATATCCTTTCATACGCTGGATTCAGCAAGGTTGAGTCCACTCGCCGTGGCGCGAACCACTTAATAGATCAACTAAGATCCCAGGGCCTTCCCTTTGAGCATTTGCACCTTGCAAAGCATCCTTGTGGAGCCCACGGAAAAAGCAGCGTGCTTCATCAACTTGGTGCGCATTCGTTGGTCGACGATCGTTCCTACGTCGTTGCTGAGTGCTCCCATTCTGGTGCCCGTTGTTTTGGGGCTGCTGGTAGGCACGACCGTGCTCTATCCTACCTTACCTTCGTTGAAGAGTGGGTCAAGCAAGAAGGCGTTGATAGCATTCTCAAGCGCAGAGCCGCAAGGGCCGTGCCAAAGGAACATCTTCGCCCGCCTTTCGGCGACAAGCAGTGGAAATCTTGAAACTCGACTCCAACAAAAGTAGGCACTGGCACAAGTCTGGTGACCCTACGCAACCGACATAAGTTTTCAAAGGATTGAGGTAGCTGTGCATCGCACGCTATTCGCAGCCGGTCTGTCTGTTTAACGTACTTGTTTCGTTTATGTTTTACAGGGTACTTTCAGATCTTTGTTTCCCCTGAAACATTTTGGATCAAGCTGGACTTCAATCTTCTTTGCGTTTTGGTTTGATTGCGTGTTATATATTCAAGAAAAAAACACAAAAACAACACTGAACTGTGATTTGCACACATCAGCAGCATTCATTTGCAAATTTCAGCAGCGTTCATAAGTGGGTCTCAGATGTTGGGTTGCACGTGTCATGTCACATGTTCATTTGACAATTTTTTCACACTCCGACCACCTCCCGGGAACCGGGGCGTGCCATGCTGGCCCTACGACATCGGGCCCCAAACTGGATTGACATTTTTGCTTCTCCAATCAGGGCTGAGCTTTGTACAATCATCGTCTCCTATTTGTATGATCAGCGAGAGGATTTGATTTTGCCTGCGGATATTTGGAGACTTAGTTGGTGTTCCACACGCGTTTACAACTTCACTGTCAGATTTCGTGAAATTCAGACGCCATCAGTTGCGGATGGGAGCTCAGATGATTAGAGAAGACAGTTGGGACCTTATTCCAGAAATTCCTTCGACTCAATTGTTGCAACCCACACCCAAATCATGTCCTTTGAGTAGACCCACTTTTGAGTTTCGACCTAGACTTCCTGCGGCAATGCACGTTTCTGCAAGGAACCCTATGCATGACAACAGGTTTCACTTTTCAGGACCCCGAATGACAGTGGCAGGGATCTCAGCAGCAGCTCCAGCAGCGGTACCAAGATATGAACCTGTACGCAGTAATTTGTCTCACCATGTTTCACATGTTGCATGTCCTTATGAAAGGGTATTTCGTACAGAATACCATCCAGGTAGCTTACAACTGCGTTCAAGCTCGAGTTCTCTGCCACAAACAGGTTTGGACAGGACCTCCATGCCAGATTTGTGCCCAAGCACAGCTGCAGCTTTGCCATGCCCTCCCATTAAAAAAGGGCCCAGGGATAAGGTTGACAAGCCCTACCCATCAGTGCGGCCCTCAACAACCATTCAATTGACTCGCTCCAAGCTGACGAGTGACAATTCCTTTTTGGTTGCACAGTTTGCGGAGTTACTGGCATTTTTTGGCAACTCATCAGATGTACATCGTTCACTGGTTTCATCCCCATTTGCTGATGATCATCGCAAGCGACTTTTAAACAACTATGCTGCTACCACAGTATTTCGCTATTTGCAAGCAGTCCAGAAGTTTGTGCGGGTCACGTCACAGTTGGGTATGGACATCCATGCACTGTCGGAATCCCAGCTTGCAGATGTTTTGACAGTGATGCAACAATCCAGGTCATGTGACACAGATCGGGATGTCAGTTCCGGCAATTTTACCATCAAGGCACTTCGTTGGTGGTATAAAATTGCTGGTGTCACTAATTTTCAGATTTGCTTTTCCCCGCTGGTCAACAGCTTCCTGAAGACCAAGTTGAGCAAGGATAGGAGGGAGGCACCCCCTCTTCCTCTCTGGCTGCTTTTTCAATGGGAGCGTCGGGTCCTTCAGAGTGCTGCAACAGTTTACGAAACTATGATGTTAGGTGCATTCCTCCTTATTACATGGGCAGGACTTCGTTTTGCTGACGCACAGAGGTTGAATGTTGACTCCCTGGTCTTTAACCTTCAGGAACTACGTGGACTGGTCTGGAGATCCAAGACGATGGCATCTGGCCACCCCTTTGGGGTACAAGCGGCAGGCCTATGCAGCACAGGGACATTTACCTGGCTTTTTAAATTTCTGCAAACATGGGATCAGCTTATGAAGGATCTTCAAATTCCACGTTCACAATGCGATTTTTTGATTCCAGCCATGCAACCGGATGGCACAATTTCAGAGTTTGAACCGTTGGACTATGCGGGAACAACAAAAATTTTCAGAGCGATGTTGATGACCCCATGGAAACGCTTTCAAGGGGACCACCCATTAGAGCGGCTTCAGATGACATACACGCTCCATTCCATGAAAGCCACGCTCTTGAGCTTTGGACCACAGCTGGGCACTTTGGTCAGCGACTCAGATCGTCTTTTACAAGGACATCACCAAGATCAGAAACAATCTTTAAACCTTTATGGTCGCGACAGCGTTTGGGGTTCCCTTCGTTATCAGCAGACAGTTATGTTGCAGATTCAGCAAGGCTGGAGGCCCAAGACTGCACAACACAGAGGGGGACAGTTTCCCCTTGTGGAACCACAGGTTGTTTTAGAGCGTTACAAAAAGGATGCACCTGCATATCAGTTTGAATGGCTTCCGTTTCATCATCATGAGGAACCCCAGGAACTTCCACAGGCTCACGAGGTGCAATCTGAAGACTCAGATACGGACTCCAGTAGCAGTGACAGTGACACCGACAGTAGAGATTCAGACAATGCTCCATCAGTTCAGGAGGTGAAACCCAAAGCGCAGGAACCCATACAAGTGGATGAAGCAGTTTTTGCTCGCCACAGACGGGTCACTCATGCTATGGTGATCATGGATGACGGCAATGATTCCAGACCTCTTTTCATGGGGCATCTGTGGAAAGCGTCTTGTGGGGCACGTATGAGACATGCAGAAACTGAATTTTTGGACGAATGGCACCCTTCCATGGCATTTTGCCAACATGCAGGTTGTAAGAGGGTGTGGGCAGCAATCAATTTACAGTGACTGTGAATTCGCAACACCAAAAAAGGAAAAAAGCGTTCTGAGCCGCAACCCTCAACGTTGAGAAACAGCAATCAAAAGACCAGTTCAGAACCCTGCAGCGGGGTGCTTATGCTTGCAGCGTTCACATGACCGTATGCACATGGCATTACACTCACATTTTTTCTCATTCCATCCACCATGGCGTGATTGCATCATGGCTCAATCTATGCTTTTCTCCGCAGCCATTTCAAAAAAAGAATAAAATAAAAAAAAAAACAAAAGGGACACAAAGATTTAATCTACCCCCCTCACAAGAGGGACAGGTGATGACCCATTGATATCATGCCCGGCACTCAGATTTTCCAAATTTCAGGTCCTTAGGTTGCAGGCGCTTCCCATTGTCATTTTTACCACTTCCACAGACTTTCACAGAATCAAGCAAAGCATCAATTTATTGGACCAGTCACGATCGACTGGTGAGCGTGTTCAGCGTTTCATTTTCCTTTTGTTTAGGAAATTGCGTCATGACTTCCAAGTCATTAGAGGATGCCATGTCGGCATGTGGCGTTGAACCAGCAATTGCATCACAGCTGATGCAGATGGGCTGGACAGTCCAAACATTCGCGTGTGCTGCAGTGAACTTAGAAGCGTTTGATCGCCTATGGCCTGAGTTTTTTCCGGAGGAAGAACCTTCACTGCTACAGAAAGCTTCCCTGAGAGCGGCATTCAAAATGTGTCAAGAAATGACACAACCTGCGTTAACCAATAACCAGGCTGCACAGGCATCAGCGTCTTCGGATCCCATGGCGAATCCTGGAACATGGTCGGAGAGTTTTCCACCGAAGTTAGATGCCACGGTGATTGATCAGATGAAAACCAAATTTTTGGCCAGTTATCCCTCAGAGTTGGTCAATCATGACACTATGCCAAGTACGCGACTGCTTAGCCTGGTGCACCATCAGTTGGGGAAGAAACAATGGGCCTGAATCCCATGGAAATATAGACTTACCATGGCGAAGTCAGAAGAAGTTACCTCACAGCGACAAGCCAAAATGCCTAAGTTGGAAGTGGCCTCCCTACATCATTTATTGGTGGACGAGCCCCCGGCTATTGACATATCCAACACAGGCTTTGGAGTAAATGCAGTAAGAAATCTGCTGGCAGTTCATGACATGGCAGTGGCAATGTGCGGTGGAGCCCATTTGGCCAACCTCAAGGCCTATTCAGCCAAGTTTTTGGGTTTTTTGACTCAGAAGGTGGATCCAGAGAGCATGCTGCGGTGTGCATCCATTACAGAAGCGCAGTCGGCCGACCGCCAAATCTGGGCTGCAATTGCAGATTTGATGTCCGAGCGTGGATGGGATATGGACAACTGCTTACATGAGTTCACCCACATTCGTCATGATTTGCCAGGACTTTTGCAATTGCGGCCACGTCCATTGAAGATCACCTCTGCCCCATCGCAGCCCAGTTTTTCAGGTTCATCGAAGAGCAAAGGCAAAGGCAAACCCTCAAAGGGTAAAGGCAAATCGAAAGGAAAAGGAAAGGTCCAATGGTTGACAGATGCAAAGACTAAGGAAGGTCAGTGGAAACAGTTATGCATGAGGTATCAAACAGGGAACTGCTCCTTAGGAGACTCCTGCCGTTTTCACCACGCTTGTGCCTACCCCGTGAACGGCCAGGCGTGCGGTTTGGAACATGGTGCATTGCAGCATCAGAATACAACTCACTGACTAGCGCAACCGGAAACAGGACCTTCAGTCTCAGAGGCCTCAATTAGCGCCTTGGACGTGACGGTTGCTCCAGACACCCCTCCTAAGGAGGAGGCGATGGTCGAAATGACCCCTGGAGAATCTACAATTCCGATGGTTTCACCAACAGTGCTTTCACCTTCATTACCTAATTTCAATCAGGGGGACTCCAAGTTGTTTCTTGACATATGCTCCGGTGCTACCAGACCTTTGAGTGCAGCCATTTTGGCGCAGCATGGGAATGTATTGTCTTTTGACATCCTTTTAGATCAGCGGATGGATCTATTGAATGATGGGAGTTATGAACAACTATTGCGAATTTGCTCATCAGGTCAAGTTGCCTATGGGGCAGCATCTCCTTCTTGTGCTCATTATTCCAGATTAAAGTTACATCGGCCAGGACCCAAAGCACTGCGTACACCCGAATTTTTGGATGGTGTCCCGGGCCTTAGCAGTGCAGAGCTTTTGCAGGTGCAAGAATCATTTATGATGCTATCTCGAACCATAACTTGCCTCACTTTAATCTATCAAGCGGGAGGACATGCCCACTTAGAGCAACCACCCTCAGCTATGAGTTGGTTGGAGGAATGTGTGAAGTCATTTTTACTGCTTATTTCTGCTTGGTGCACAATCATTTCTGCATGTGAGTACGGCAAAAGTTGGTACAAGCAATGGATGTTTGCAAGCAGCTGGCAACCGATTTCTGCCCTTGGTTGCTTATGTTCGCACCCTGCCGGGAGCCACCAGTCCTTGGTGGGGACCAGATCCGATACCGGGGAATACTTAAGTCGCCAAACGGCCTGTTACCCAGAGGCCCTGGCCACGAAATTTGCTTCTTTGGTTACACCACTGGTTCACCAATCATCACATGACTGGAAGTGGGACGATATTCATCTTATTCCCCCCAAGAAGGATCCATTTCAACCACCATTTGGACAAGAGGACGGTGGCGGCTTGCCATCCAATCCGGATTGGAGCATGGGAGGGCGCTTAGCTCATGATGTGTTTGGCCCTCTTCGGCAACAGTGGATGCGACGAATTGTTGATCAGCGATTAGACAAAGCACTGTTGCAATATTTTTCCCAGGATGCACATGCGCATCCGCCATTCTCCAATGCAGTTTTGGCTCCTTTCAAGCAAGATTTGGATTTTTTTTTGCGAAATTCGGGCTTTTCACCTGACTGGCAGGTTCGGCCCCATCAACCAATGTGTTTGGAAATTCTACGATGTCTCAATCAATTAATGCAAGATCCTGACCAAGCTCTATTTCCATCACTCATTGCAGGCGTGGGCACTGGATTTCAACACGACATTCCGCCAAGCAATTGTTTTCCCATGAGTGATCCAACTGATGTTGACGAGCCACCACTCTCCGCTCATCATGCAAATTGGCAGAGCGCAGAAGATGATCCTGCCCTTACTCGGAGCCTCGTCCAACAAGAAATAGACAAAGGTTGCGTTTTCGAATTCGATGGAACATTACAGGATGCACAACAGCGATTCCCACTTGGTGTTGCCTTGGGCAAATTGGGCATTGCCTCCTCCGAAGGCAGAGCACCACGCTTAGTTCTTGACCAAACTATTTGCGGCCTTAACGGCAGGTGCCACATACCTGAGAAGAGTACTCTACCGTCGATCAAGGATGTGTTGCGCACATTCCCAATCCGAAACTTTTCAGGCGACCATATGGGATTTTCGTTAGACTCGTTAGACATTAAGGCAGCCCATAAAAGAATCTACGTACGTGAAGAAGAACATGGCCTCCTAGGATTTACGTTGCAGGGCAAGTTGTACTTTTACAGAGTCGCTCCGTTCGGAGCCACCTTCTCGGCGGCGTGGTGGTCCAGACTTGGGGGCTGGATGCTCAGGCTATTCCACTTTCTTGTTTGGTGGTCCCACGTTGCCTTGTTATACGTTGATGACTTCTTGTTCGTCCAATCATTATTCAGCATGCCACTCTCGGCTACTATGATCTGTATCCTTAGTCAGCTGACAAACATTCCTGTGTCTTGGCAAAAGTGCGAGTTGGCATTCAGCATACAATGGATTGGATGGAAAATTCACTTGCGGTCAGGCTATGTCGAAATCCCGGTGGCCAAGATCAAAAAATTTCAAGATTATTTGCGTTCAATGGGACGGAGCTCCCGCACATCAAAACGAAATTTGGAAAAGTTGATTGGACTCGCATTGTGGTTAACACAACTCTGGCCATACATGAGAATCTGGATCCGACACTGGTATCATGATTTGTATTCCATCCCAGCTACACATTACAGTATTGACAATGGCGACTGGCGATCTTTTTCATCCTATCTGGATGACAACTTGAATTTCATCTCTCGTCCATCCGGGACGGCCTTGCCAATTGGTGGACAATTGTTGGCAGTACGTCATCAGACAGTTCAACATAAGAATGACCTAGCCAAGGTACACGTATCCAATAAACGCATTTGGCTTCGCATTAGAGACCCAGCTTCCACCAAACGTAAACTTTCACCTTCGAGTTTGCGCATTATCCAACATTTCATTTAGTGGCTTTCTGGTTTATCCCCCATGAAACCTTTGACACCCAAGACATACTGGCCAGGCATTGCTGCCGCAGACGCATGTGCGGCTGGCGACACATGTGAAATTGGGGGATTTGTCAAATCCAATACAGGCCAAAGCTACTGGTTTTCCGAAATTTATACCCATTCAGACTTCACAAAATTGAACATTGAATTGGAACCCGAGATGCAACGATCTATTTCAGCCTTTGAGACATTGGCCCAAATTGCCTTGCTGTTTGTGACAGCTCAATTCTTTCCAGCTCATCGCATGCCAATTTGTTTAAAAAGTTTGAGTGATAACAGTGGAGCAGAATCAGGAAGCAATAAACTATGGAGCATGACCTACCCACTGGCCATTTTCCTTGAGCGCATGTGCCTGATGTCAGCAATCTTGGGTATCGAAATTGATGTGAGCCATATTCCCGGCTCCCAAAACATATTGGCAGACGACCTCAGTCGATGGGACCAATCTGGAAACCCACCACATGATTTCCAATTGACAGATCGCATTCGCATATCTCTTTCGGACCTATGGAACATTCGTAGATCCCCAACACTTGTTCCAGAGCATGCCACAGTTCCTTGGACATTGCCTAGCTGGTAGCCTCCCGATTTTCGCTTGCTGGAATTCCACTCACTTTTCAATTGGGGTTAGTTGTTGGCGAGTTGAATTCTCAGATAGTTTACTTAGGGGTTTTGATATCCATCTGAAAATTCAACCAAAGAAATGTGTTGGTTGAAAAAACCTGGAGATCAAATTATATCCAGCAAGCGAAAAAGAAAATGAATATAAAGTCCGAGTGTCTGCACAGGTCGTTAGAACTTCGATTCGTTTGGAAGCCGAGCGTTTTTGATGAAGTTTTATTTATATGATTTTATAATAATATATACATGTACATATATATATATATATTATGTATATATATATGTGTTTAATCCATAAGAAGATTGAAGTCCATGTAGAACGTTTAACGTACTTGTTTCGTTTATGTTTTACAGGGTACTTTCAGATCTTTGTTTCCCCTGAAACATTTTGGATCAAGCTGGACTTCAATCTTCTTTGCGTTTTGGTTTGATTGCGTGTTATATATTCAAGAAAAAAACCACCCATCCCATTCCTTATGATATAATCTATTCTTTTCGTTGTCTTTCTGTTGCAAGGATTACAATTCTCAACAGCTTCCGTTTCTGGTGTTTGGTCATTGGGACAATCCTGAGACCAAATTCAATGACAGAACCATTGCATTTTCTTTTCTCAATCGCATCAGTTCTCCAACCGGAGATGCAAGCATCCGTCCGCCCTGATTTGAAATTTTTCACCAATCCTCACCACTGAGGACCATCAGCCACCATAGGTGCAATAAGTTTGCAGTAAGTTTACAGCCGTTGCATTGCTTTCACCGAATCCAGTTGCATTCGTCATGCGTAAATTGTGCTATTCACTTCCCTCTCCAAAGGATGGGACGTTTTCAGCGGTGGATATCTACCTCCAAAAAAAAAACGAGAAACCACTCCTATGGGTCTGTTTTCATTCATTTAACCCAATTCGGTGTGATTCATAATGCGGGGGTTTTGATATCCATCTGAAAATTCAACCAAAGAAATGTGTTGGTTGAAAAAACCTGGAGATCAAATTATATCCAGCAAGCGAAAAAGAAAATGAATATAAAGTCCGAGTGTCTGCACAGGTCGTTAGAACTTCGATTCGTTTGGAAGCCGAGCGTTTTTGATGAAGTTTTATTTATATGATTTTATAATAATATATACATGTACATATATATATATTATGTATATATATATATATGTGTTTAATCCATAAGAAGATTGAAGTCCATGTAGAACTTGTCTTTTCCGTGGTTTGTTGCCGCCTGCAACACTCCACTTGCATCCGTAAGGTTGTTAACTCCTTTTGCACTTTACTGTTTTCTACATCCATCTTTGTAAAGTTTAGTTGGTTGATTCAGTACTGTGCCTTTGGTCCGTCCTTGTCGTCTGTAATCTAGCGCTTGGGACGCTGTGCAAAGCACGCGTCGGATCTTAATTGAGTTGCGACACTCTGCAAAAGTTGTGTTGTGGAATTAGGATGCCCGGTGTTCCCCCGCAAGCTGATCCTAGTATGCCTAGTCGATCTAGGGGTCACTCCGAAGCCTCCAAAAATAATTTCAATGCAGCTCTGGTCCCCGATGAACCTAATGTTGTTTTAACCCCACAAAGGGTTGAAGCGTTCTCCATTCATTAGGGATGCCACACTGGTTCAGGAGCCTTCCAATACTAGTCTGCAAGCATCTCGTTATAGTGGTTTTCGTAGGCATCGGTTACCATTAGATCCGTATCCAAGCAATAGTCCAGACCCCGATAATCTTTTGGAACTTAGTCCATCAAGAACCAATCTCCTTGCGGGTGCTGATGTTTCTAACACGCACCATGTTACTAGTTTAGAGGACCATGCTAATCCCATAGCCAACCAATCTCTTTTAACCTTGCAACTTGGGGAAGCTGCCATGCACACGCATGCTGGATCCGTTCAGGTCGCTGCTTTCGAGCGCGACGCAGCGCCCGTGGCCATCCTGCACAACCAGGAGCCAGGAGGAAGCCACTGTACCTCCGGGTGAATGGGAAAGGGGTTTGGATTTAACTGGGTATAATATATCACAGGGGACCCAACAAGATGATCTTGGGGCTTGGCCGAGGGTTTGGCAGGAAGTCCAAACTAGTCAAGTAGCACTGCAAGGGGTCGTACCTAGGTGGAATGAGCCAATTGTAGGACCACCACAAAACTCACAAAATAGGCCAATGTTGGGTAATCAACATTTAGCTGTTAGGGAGTTTGGGATAACCGAAAGGGATTCTAGGATGTTCCCCAATGAACATCAGCTGCAACCCAGCAGCGACATAGCATTGCACTAGTTTCCCCGGATTCCATTAACCCTTCCCATCAAACTTTGGACAATATATGTGTTTGAAGACCCTGATCAAGTCCCATCCACTTTGTCCAATACCCCAATGCAGCTACCAACATTATGTTGTCCCCAATTAGCCTTCCATGTGCCCCAGATTCAATGCAAGCGGTCGTGATCCCAACCGACGTCAATGCGACTGGTCGGGTGACCCCCACGGTTTCTGGTGGTCCCTCAATTTTGGGTAATCAACAATTAGCTGATATGGAGATCGGGATAACAGAAAAGGACTCTAGGATTGCTCTCAATGAGCACCGGCTGGCTGCAACCCAGCAGCGACACCGTGTTGCACTAGTTTCCCCGGATTCCGTTAATTCTTCATCCCAAATTTTGGATAGGCAACATGTGTTTGAAGATCGGAGTGCGGTCCCATCCACTGCCGTCCAATACCCCAACCCAGCTAGTCCATTGTTGTCCCCGAATAACCCTCAAAATACTTCAGACACTTTGCAAGTGGTTGCTGTCCCATGTCGTAGAGGCGACTAGTCGGGTTACCCCCAAAGTCTCTGATAGTCAACCGTCTAATGTAGCCGCGCAAAATGCTGATGCATCCTTGCCCCAGTCTTTGCACCATCCGGGTGTCTCACCCGTCCCTGTAGTGGCGATCCCCCAGCTCGCAGAGTTAGTCCCAGTGTCTAGCTTGCCCATAACGACAAACGTTATGGTGCCTAGTGCGTTAGCTGCAAGTGGGTCGAACCCATCAGAGTCAGTCTTGGTTCAACAACTCCAAGCTGAGG